CATGGCCAAGTTACTTTCTGAGGAAGGTTACTACAGATACATCAGCATGACAGGTGGGGCGTGGAGGAAGAAGGCCCGGCGTGTTCAAGTCAGAGCTGAATATTAGATTCTAGTCACTGTTTGATTGATCTTTTAAGCAATTCTGGGATTCTGTCACTTAAAAACCAATAAATCTTTGAAGGCCTGGGGAAAGCAATGCAAAAGCAATAAATCTCTATTGTGGAGTATTAGAAATATAGGCCAAGCTGCCGACGTGGTTTGGCTGGAGAGATGAGGGTGCGGGAGCCCCACAGGGCAGTTTTCCCTCCCCACCTCCCCTCCTCGCCTCCGGGCCCGATCAATTCCACCAGAAAGTCAGACCCAAGGGGCTCCCAAGAGGCAGCAAGGGGCTGAACAGGGACAGAGCCCTGCTGGCGAGGCCTGGGGGCTGGGGCTCAGCTATGATGCTGTTAGAGGACAGGCAGACCCCACTCAGAGAGAGACATGCTGAGGTTCAAGTTACAGGCTCGCCCACACAACCCAGAGTGAAGGGCCCCTGAGACCTCCTTTTGCCTCCCCCTCACTTCCGAGATGAGGGCAGTTCCCTCGCCAGCATCCCCACGGAGTGGTTACTCAGTCATCACTTGACGTCCCAGGCATGGGAAACTCAGAACCTTCTAGGGGAGCAATGAACGCAAAGGCAGGAAGTGAGGTCCCTGTCCTGCTGTACAGGTAACAAGCTTGGTGACCTTGGGCCAATCATCTCACACCTTGACTACAGCTTCATCTTCAGAAATGGAGATGGTGTTTCCACCCAGCTGATCTACTGGGTAAATGGCAATCGGATAATACAATGAAATTAAAGGAACTATCAGTTATGAATAGGATCCCGGGCATTCTTGACCCCATACTGCAGTCATGGCCTTTGTTGTTTTCTCAATTCTCCTCTTCCTTGACCTGTGGGACTCCATAGGGCGCCCCCCCCCCCGAGCTCATCTTGCCAGCTAGTCCTCTCCTCTCAGCCAACACAGTCACTGTCCTTACTGGCCTTGTCTTGCTGGTCCAGTTTCATTATCTGGTTTGTTTCCCTGCTAATGCCCCAGCTCCCTGCCCGATTCCCAGGAACACTTCCTGGATGCTAAACCTCAGGAGGACAGGTGTGCGCCTGTCCTGTTTCCTGCTATAACCCATTTACCTCCCCCTCCTGGGACACAGCAAACGCTCAATTTGTTGAATGACCTATGGTCAACTTCCTCCCAGCTGGGCATCCTAGTGCCCTGACCTCAAAGTGAAAAGAGCTAAGGTAACTGAAATCTATTGGGATGGAGCCACTGCTGTCGTTGCGAGCTGCCCTGAAAGATTTGCTGGGTGGCACGGGTTAGTCTCTTGCCCTTTTTGTCAAATGCCCAAGCACCAGTCTGAAAATAATTCCGAAAAGGAGTGTACCCATCCTCAATGATCCAGAGCCTTGGGAAGAAATGCAGCCAGACCTCTCCACACGCGAAGCATTGCCCCTTTGAGCAGTGACATTTATTTTCATTTTTTCCCATGGCAATGTCACCAAAATATGTCATGCCCAGCTTCCTCCTAGGGAGGTGCTAGGGTCTAGTGGAATGAGGGTTGGCTTAGGGTCAGTTTAAATGCTGCCCACACCCCTTGCTTATTTCGCGGTCTGCATCGACCTCCTGGGGTCTGTTTATCTCCGTTCCCATGACTGCAAAACGGGGAGACTGCTCTTGCCATGTTGTGAGGATACAGTTTATCTATGGTGACAGGCATGCAGCAAGCTCTTGCTCATTAGATGAAAGCTAGCAGGTCCTTTGCACTTGAAGACATGGAGCCTCATGCTACATTTTTGGGGGTAAGCCAGGAATAATGGATGAACAACCGTGGCCGTGAGGAGCTGCAGCATGCAGACCTCCTAATTTCTTGAGTCCCTGTGTCAGTTTTATAGAGTTCTCCTGTTGTTGTTTTTTTTTTGCTCCCTGCCAACTGTCATTTTTCACTGCTCCTGGGCACTTCCATTCCCACCTCCTAATTTACTGTGGTCTTAGGATACATGAGATTACCAAACAGACGGGCAAGCTAAGAGCATGCAGGCTCAGAGGAAAGTGCAAGGGGCTTCTCTCTGTGGGAACTGGAAGAGCTTTCCCAGGAACGCCTGTTTGGGCTGCTCAGAGGTCCTCTTTGCTGGTCTCTGGAGGCAGGCAGGCCTGGATCCTAGTCCCAGCTTCATCACTTGCGGGCTCTGTGACTGAACTTCAGCTTCCTCATTTCTAATAGAAAGATCCTACTCTTAGGTTAGTCAAGGTTAAATTCTGGGAACACAGTAGTTGCCCAATAAAACGTGGTGCTAATGACTTTGATGAGTTTTCAGAGTTTCATGGACATATAATCTGATTTATCCTGAGGATGGGACTCTAGTCCTCGGTACAAAATTTAACTTTATGCTGCTGGACCCATATTGCTTATTTCTCAGTACAATTTTTAAAAAAAGGTTTTTGGAAACTTTGTGCTGGAAAGAAGGTAGGGGATCTTAAGGAAAAAAGCAAAGGCCTTCCATCCCCACCACAGAATCAGGGTCTCAAAAAGCTTTGAAAATTTGAATAGGAAAGAAGCAGGCAACACTGTGACCTGGTGGCAGGACAGATTTTTCAAAATCCACTTTGAACAGACCTTCCTAAGTTCCAAAGAGAAGCAGAAAAGCCAACGAAGAGACTAACTCTGACAGCCTGCCTTGCTGTGGCTTCTATATTTTATTTAGCCTCTATGGAATCATTACCCTCCATACTTTCCAGATAAGCAAACCTCAGGCTCAGAGAGATGAAGTATTTGGTCCAAGGTTGCATGGCCGTGTTCTGAACCCAGGTTCCCTGTCACTAAGCTCCCATCCTTCCCATTGCCCCATAGAGAAGGCTGTGGGGAGTGGACGGAATCCACACCCCCAGGAACCCACCGCGGAAGCCAGGTGGCCAGGTCCCTCTGTAGGTAGTTTTGAAGGCTTGCAGCGTGAAAGGGGATACCTGAGTCTACTGTGTAAAAGTCCTGGGTGTGGGGTCAGCTGCGCATGGATTGTGCATCATGGGATACACTGTTTCTCTTTTCTGGGCCTATTTTGCCATCTGGAAAGCTTTCAAAGATGTTGAAACATGACCAGTGCTGCTTCGTGAAAGAGGCACAAGCTGTGAAAGGGAGGCAGGCAAAGGTGGCCGAAGTGCAACATGTGATTTAGCACCTGGAGGACCTGGGTTCGGTCTCAGCGTCCCTACTTATTGTCTGTGTGCTCGTGGGAATTTCTGAGCCTGAGGATGAGAATAATAGTATCTGAAAAGGAGGATAATCATATCTCAGTGTATAGACAGAACTGAATGACAATGTTGTATGAAAGTGACAGGAATAAAAGCAAGTAACTCAGTAACTATTTATTTGGTGTAAGAGCCACCAGCCGCCTGGGCTCACCACAGCCAGGACAGTCCTGCAACGACCTATGTACAGGAGACAAGGCAAAAGTTCTCAGCTCAGGTGTCCCACAAACACTACACCGCCTGTTGCAAGGTCTGAAGATTCACCTGACTTAGAACATTGTTCAAAGCCTACGGAATTGAGGGGAACTTCCTAATTGTGGGCAACTGATTGGATCTGCTGCACTGCCTATAATTTCTGGGTAGAGTTGGGTCCAGGTGGGAAAACAGATAACTAGACCATCCCAATAGCCTCCTTCCTGGCTGGTCTCCTAGTCTCCAGTTTCATCAAAGTCACACTGCATCTGGCTCCCCAGGGCTCCTCAGAGAAACCCGAGCATCTTAAACATGGCCCCACCGCCACCCCACCACTGCTGCCTTCATCTTTATGCCGAAGCAGACGGAACCACTCCTGGCTGCTCCCAGGACAGCAGGCTGCGTCTGTCCTCCATGCCTTTGCTCACGCTGGATCCTCTTACTGCTTTGGCAAAATCTCATACAACATTTAAGATCTAGCTCAGTGTCACCTCCTCTGGGAACTCTCCCCTCGAGCCCTCCACGACCCAGGCACATCTCCACACGCATGCACTGTGTTGTAATTATCTTTTCATGTGTCTGTCTCCCCAGCGAGAGTCTGGCTTTCTTTCGACCATGGCTAGTTCACTGCTGTCTGCTAAGCAGTTAGACAGCCCCTGGCACAGAGGGAGTGCCCCATAAATACCTGTTGAATGGCTAAGTAAATGGATCGTTTTTATCCCCTGTGGCCCTCCCCATTCCGGGCATCTAAGGTATTCAGTGCGTGCTTGTTGAACTGGACTGAGCCCATTTGAAAGCTGTTTCACCCAACACTCAACTTGATTTCAAGGGACTGCCGTCCTTTGATCGCTGAGCAAAGCTAGCAGTCAAGCTCCGAGCTGCTGCCCCTGTGCAAAGTGTAGCTGGTTTAAAAGAGATGCCCACCTTTCTGGTAGCCACGCGCCAGGACCTGGCACTGGGACAGCTCAGCCATGGAGAGGCTTTCATCGCCTGGGCCATAAGCATGCTCCTGACCCCCAGCAGCCTCTTGCAAAAATCAGCAATAGGGCTTGGACTTCAAGCCCCAATGGGGAACCCTAGCAAGCTAAGGCCCTATGCTGGCCCAGCCCAGAGGTCTGGCCCCATTCATGTCTCTGAGCAGGCAGGTTTCAGAGTTCAGCAAGTCTGCCCATTTGTCTGCTAATGCCAGTCAGACATGGAAAGATAATCTGGGCAGGAGGCTCAGTCTCCAGGCTCCCAACTCACTAAATAAATTTACTGTCCATGTGTTCCAGCAGGTTCTCTCCCAGCCTCCTCAGGTCCGCCTCGGCATGCTCCCTCAGAATCAGTTCCAACACCCATTGTGCAGAGAGAGGCTCCTGGCTCAGGGGCCCCTGAACTGGGCATGGGCTCCTGGCCCTCCTCCTCCAGGAGGCCTGGCTCCTGGCCAGTCCGGCCCGGGCATTGATGGTGACACGACTCAGTGGGAGGTGTGCCTGGTGCAGAGAAGGAAAGCTGTGAACTCTAGGCGAAGGCACCTCCTACCTGACAGGGGCTCCCCGGGACTGAGCAGGCTTCAGCATCACCGTGATGGTCGTGTCCGTTTCGTTGAGTGGGGTGTCTGTGTCATACTCGGGCATCGACGGAGCTGGGCAGAGAACAGAGAGAGTGGAGCTCAGCACAGGTCCCAAGCCCCACTCACTGGGGTGAAATCCTAGACCACCCTGGCTTTGTAGCATTCATTCATTCATTCATTCATTCATTCCCCTTGCGGCCACCCCTAAGACACTCAGGATGACTGGAAGGAGGGTGTGTGGGGAAGCTTAGATGAGAGGCACATGGCATCCCAGGATTTCAGTAAAGAAGGTCCTGACCTCCAGCCAGGCAGAGGGCTCCTTCAAGGTGCTGCAGAGCCTGGGGAAGGGTGGCAGTGATGTGGCCAGTAACCCTCAGGAATCAACAAGTCCCACACGAATAAACAGATAAATGCAGAAAATGTAAGTACTCAACAAGGATGTGAGCGCAGTCAACCTTGTTAAGCACATTAAAAATGTAAATTACAATAGTGATGAGTGATTCTTTTTTTTTTTTCTCATGAGACCCTCCCTCTCTCATCCCCAACCCCTCAGGAGTGAAACTAAATCTGATCCCTGGGGAAGGTAATTTAGCCATTTGCATTAAGAGCCATTAAAACCCACATCCCTTTTAATTCAGTATTTCAATTTCTGGAATTTAATCCCGAAGTTATAATCCAAACCGATGAATTAAACTTTATTCTGTAGCATGTTTATTGAAGCGTTATTTTATAAAATCATGGAAGCCCCAAATATATCCAACCACAGGGGAATGTTTAATTAAATTACGTCCATCCGCTTGACAGAACATTATAATGAAAGCAATGTAGCAACATGGAAAATGCTTATGGTATAAACAGGAGTGAAAACATTAAGCTACCCAAAACACCATGGGTCTGTTATGCAAAATGTGTATGCATGCCGGCCAGAATTGCATAGACATTCTGAAACACTATAAATTGTAAAAAAGGCTCCCAGGTAATTCTGCCTGACGCTGACTGGTGATGGAGGGGGCCCTACTGCAGACGGCAGGTGAAATCATGGACCATTGTGGCTTTGAACATTCATTCATTCATCAGACATTTCATGAAGACCTCTGCTGTGCCCTGCCGTGCGTGCTAACAGGAATATTCCTGAAAATAAATCACATTTTTACAAGCCAATGTGTATGAAAAAAGTAAAGTACTACTTAATGCCACTGTGTAGTCTAATTTTTGGTGAATCGCTCAGTACGCCCTCTGGTCTAATGAGTGTAACTTTTACACGTTAGGAAGCGTGTGGATTGGGTTTTCTTTGTGAGACTACTGAGGTGACACAGGAGGGGCAGCACCGTCTTGATCTCCAGTACCACACGGCGACAGCTGGCTCTGGCCTTTCTTCACTCCCAGGAAACTGAGGCATGGGGAAAAGCAAAGCAGCAACCACTTTCTGGGAGAGATACCTGAGATTTTGGTGGCGATCCTCGTGGTGACGGGGGGCCCGAAGCCCTTGGCTGTGCTGGCCTTGATGGTGAAGGAGTAGGTCGTCCCTGGGTACAGACCCACAAAGAGGTGGTGGGTTTCGTTCCGGAGCTTGAACACCTTCCCCCTCTGGCTGGAGAGGTCGGCACTCGGGTCCAGGGAGCCAACAGCCTTGTAGTTGATCTGCACAACAAGCGAGCAAGCAAACCGATTAACACCTGGCTCGGGAAGCTGGACGGCGCTCACGTGGAGGGACCTCAGGGGAGGAAAGGAGAAGGCACGTGGGCTTGGTCAGTGAGTTCCGATGCTGCTGTCCACCTTACAGGTCACCCAGCCTCGAAACAAGCCACCGCGGGCGCTCTGCACCACTGCTGCCCAACGGAAACACAACCCACGCCATCGACATGCAGTTTAGTTCCCTAGTGGTCACACTGAAATAGAAATAAAGTAAAAAGATTAAATATTTTGTCAAACCTAATATATGCAAAATATTTCAACCTGCAATTTACAGAAAGTTACTGCGATATTTTATACTCATATTTTATAATGTGAATACAGTCTATATGTATTCACATGACGTCCTTGACATCTCATATGTCGTTTGCCATGGCACCTCTCCATTTGTACTGACACATTTCAGAAGCGTAGTAGTCCTGTGTGGCTAGCGGCCACCACATTGGACAGCGCATCTGTAGAGCAGTGCTAGAGAGAGCCATCGCAAGAAGAATTATTTGGAAAGATAGTGAAAAATGCAGTCCCCGGCCCCTACTGCAGGTGGCGTCATCTGCATTTTCTCATGCATTACACTGCTTGTCCTCCCCCAACCTTGGGGGCATCAGGATACTTAATTCTCATCTTAGCGATGCAGAAACTGAGGCTCGGTTTGAAACAACTTGCATTAAATCAGCATGTCTCAACATATCTTTGGGGAAGGCCCAGTTCTGGGTTTCCTAATCCATTGCACACTCATAATAATCCAAAGACCACATCACATGTGACTTGTCATGTGAGTCTGGCGATAGCCAGACTGGTCTACACTCTGTGCAAGAAGACATGTCCCTTGACCATGCACTTGGGTGTCACAGCAATGCCAAGGCACTATAGAAGTTTCTAGGTGCTCACGCTCAAGTTCTGCACTTACCTGCTGTGAAAGTAACAAAACGGTTGGCGTCCTGGCACTGGCCCCATGGATCACACTTTGAGTACCCATGTTTCTAAATTAAACATTTGTGAACGTGGCAAATACAGGTTTTTTGTCTATTTTTAAAAAATATATTTTATTGACTTTTTTACAGAGAGGAAGGGAGAGGGATAGAGAGTCAGAAACATCGATGAGAGAGAAACATCGATCAGCTGCCTCTTGCACACTCCCTACTGGGGATGTGCCCGCAACCAAGGTACATGCCCTTGACTGGAATCGAACCTGGGACCCTTCAGTCCGAGGCCAACGCTCTATCCACTGAGGAAACCGGTCAGGGCTTGTCTATTTATTTTATCTAGTTTGTTCTATTAAAATATATTATTAGAGTGTAAAACACACAGAAAACTCTACAGCTCAATGAATTTTTACTAACTGGGCACAGTTGTATAATCAGCAGCCAATTAAGAGAGAGGACATTACCAGACCCCAAATATCCCCCTCGCCCACCACCTGTGGCAAGGTACCTTCTATCCTTGCCTCTAACAGCATACAGTTGTTCTGCCTATTGTTGAACTTTATATAAATGGAGTCACACACAGGGTGCTCTTCAGTGTCTGGCCTCTTTCATGCAGCTACATGATATGCACGTGCAGCTACAGACTGTGCTCTCGTAGTTGTTCCGTATTCAGTCACGGGCTCAGGATCACACCCAGGCCCCTTAGGCTCGAAAACCTGTGCTCTTTATTCTATATCCCCCTGCCCCACAGGGAGACACACTGCATCAATGGAAGGGCACCTTCATTCATTCACTTAGTGCTCCTTCACTAATGTTTCCCATACACCCCTGGATTCTAGGACCTGCATGGGGTGCTGCTGGGGCCCCCAAATGAATGCAAGTTAGACCCCGTCCTCAGGGTCCTCTCTTCTAGAGCGAAGTAAGTCACCTACATTGTTCTGTCCTCCACCATGAATGTCCTATGCTTGACAGGAAGGCCACACCCAGGCAGAAAAGGGAACACACCCACTTCACTTCAAAACTAAGCAGTTCTCTCTTTCTGGCAAGGGTATCAAATGTTTTCGGAGAAAGAGGTAACTTTTCTCTCCTGTGTGAAGCGCTGTAGCAATGGAGACCACGCGTCTAGGAGAGAGACCAGATTCTGCCTGGAGCAGAGTGAGCCCAGGAGGAGAAATGCCCAGAGTTGAAGGATTTGGGCATTTTGCAAGCAGAGTCTGGGCAGGTCCAGCCCTTGTCAGGCAAGCGACACATGTCTGCCTCTTTGCTTGAGGGCTTTGTGCTTAGGCGCTGGCAGGAAGTGCCTGGCAGTGAACAGCCACTGGAAGGATGGGAGGTGGGTCACGCCTTTCCCAGGCCCCCTTGCCTCTGCAGCCCCCTAGGGGACTTCCCCATGGGAGTTGCTCCTCTGGCCTCCACAGGGAGCTGGCTGGGAAGCATACCCACCACTGGCTACCTTCCTTTCTCTTCCCCACCCCCTAGTGTCTCCCAAACTCCTCAATAATTGCTGGTATTCAAACCTTAGTCTCAGGGGTCTGCATCTGAGAAACACCAAACTAAGACAACACAGGAGGTATCCAAGGGCAGAATTGAACTAATGCCCGAGGATGACAGGAATTCAGAGCAGGGGACAGTGTTCTAGGTTCTAGGTTGAGGGAGCTGCCTGAGCAGAGGCCTGGGTGGGAAAAGGCTCATGAAAATGGAGGAAAGCCCAGTGTGACTGCAGAGTGGTGAGCAACTGGGGGAGGTGAGGGTTCAGTGTGCGGCTGGACTCCAGGTGTCCCCAGTGGCAGAAGGAGGAGCAGGTTCAGAGAACCCTGCCTGTGGCTGGGAACCCCAGCCCACAGCGGGGGGGAAGGCATACATATGCATCCTTTTGAAATCTCCCCCTAGTCCCCCTGGCTGGGCTGGTGGCAACTGCGTTGATATACAGGCACTGGGAGGTAAAACTCATGCCTTATTTACTAGCCAATTCCTTTCCTGCCCTCCAAATTCAATCCAGAAGCAACTCAATTTCTACCGAGCTGTCAATATAATCTACCGTGTTCCCCTGCTCTCCTAACCTTTCCTGGTATTACAGGATCCTCACTTACTTGTAATGAAACACTATGAATAAATCAATGTATGTTAATATAGCATGTCTTCAATTTTTTATGGAGGGCTTCACCAAGCCGAATCCCCGCTGCTTTGTCAGAAACCGTCTTTGAAAAATTTAACTTGCAAGTTTTATGAACTTGCAACTTGTGGGGGCTCGGGCTGGGGAGGGAAAGGAGGAAGGTGAGAAAAATGGAATGGGATGGAGCTGTGGCCATAAAATACATAATGCAATGTGAATCTTCACTTGGAAGAGGAGAGAGAGAGAGATTTGTTGGAACAGCAAACATAAAATAAAGGGTGAGTTGGGGAAAAGGGTGCTGAGCTGCATGTCGACACGGACTCCAGGGACTGGGCTCTGGCTGCAACAAGGTGATCGCGGCCACCCAGTCTCTTCCGGTCTCCATCAGTGGGATCCCTAGCCAGGAGCCAGAGTGAGGACTTCAAAATGACAATCCAATCACGCCATCCCTTAGAATCCATAGCTCTCCGGATTCAGACCACATTGTTATCCCGTGTTATCTTCACCAGCTCACGCAATGAGTTGTCCTCTCTTGGGCTCCCTCTAGCAACCGAGGCCTTATTACAGTGTCTAAAACGAGCCATGGTCCTTTTTGCTACAGGACCTCGGCACAAGCTATTCTGTCAGCACAAAACACGGCTTTCCTTCCCCTGCCTCCTTCTCACCTAGTTAATGACTCCTCATCCTTAGATCTTACTTGAAATGACACTTGTCATGAGCACCTTCCCTGACTCCCACATCCTCCATGTACCCAAGTCACAACTCTCCTCTTTGAACTGTGAATGTGAATTTTACATTCAGCCATGCAATTATTTCATTGTGAGTCCCTTTCCCACTATCCCAAGGTTTGCAAAAGTAAAGCCTTAACGCCAAACTCGGCCCCTAATCTGGTTTTGTAACTAGAAATGTATTGTAAGACAGCTGTGCCATTCACGTATGTTTTGTCTTTGGCTGCCTAGACACGACAATGGCAGAATTAAGTCGTTGCGACTGAGACCCTGTGGCCCACACAATCATGAATATTTTCTCTCTGGGCCTGTGTAGAAAGCGGTGGATGACTCCTGTACTAGACTTTAAGCTCCAAGAGAGCAAAGATCTTATCTGGTTTTTGTTCCATATTTCTTCCTTTTGCATGGGTAAGTGAATGATCAAACTAGCCACGTGGCTTGAACCATTTGCTTAACCTCTCTGAGTCTTGGGTTCTTTAAGGGTTAAATAATAATTTTAATGCACCTTTAGCCTTTGCATCAAGGCTCCATCAAAGAAGCAAAGAACAAGTAGCCCTTCTACCCTGAACTGAAGAGGCAGGGACAAGAGAGGCAGGGAGAACAGAAGGAAACCATTTCCCTTGAAGAGCCCCGTCAGGAAGGACTTGAACATGCGTAGATTGGGCCATGCTGTGCTCCAGGCACTGGGCTCGGTACGACATAAGACCCTATAGTTCCATGTTCAGATAGAGCAGCTGTCTGACAAGACTCAGGTTGTGAGGATGAGATGGTGCATGGGAGTTAAGGGCAGATTGGAGATAGGGATGAGGGATGCAGCCAGGACTCAGAAGCAGCTGATCAGAGATGCAATCATGACAAAAACACCATTTGGGGCACTTGCTATGTGCGAAGCACTGTGAGACGGGGTTCGCATAAAAATCGCCTTGTTTAAGCCTCAAAAAAGGGTATGGATTCTTCATGGTTATTCCCATTCCTCTGCTGAGGAAGCTGAGGCCAAAGGAGGTGACATGCTCAGCACGTGAGCAGAGGTGAGGGCAGCTATGTGTGTGACTGTGTGGCCTGCTGGAAGAACGGAGGGAAATCCACAGCTCATGAAGTGTTCTCTGCTGCCTCAACTTCACCATCGTAGGTGCCGTGATGTGACAAAAACTTGGATAAGTCTATTCAAACACCCAGGGATGCCTT